CATGGGGTAGGTAGGGTTAAGGTCTGCGTACACTCTACCCTTCCCAGACCCCACCTGTGGGATTTCACTGGGTTTGTTGTTGTTGTATTAGAATTTAGATACTAATATATTGTAAGTTATTAATGATATCTCCTCTCTATTTAAGGTGAGATTTCCCCCTGTAATATCGATAATAGTACAGCTCGCCTTGTCAAAGGTTCGCTTAACCCTGAAGCGAGAGGTGCAAGACATGTTGAGCACTTTGCCTCACTCTATGTGCTTTAGTGTCATTATCATTAAGGTTCTAAGACATTTTTATCCAATAAGCATCTCTTAACGAGGCGATGCTAAACAATGGATATTTCACTTATCGTATTCTTTTTTTCAATTTCTTTGTCCTATATTTGTTATTCATGCTTTTTAGTATTAGTCTTGTACTAAGCATATATTTTTGTATCTTTTCTCCATTTGAGCCTTTTTTTCATTAAAGCCCATGTGTTATGTGCGCTTAAAGCCCTAGCGGACCGTAGAGTTTTTTTTGTGCTTTTCGCTTTTGATAACATTGGACCCGACTTATCTTTTCTTTTTCTCTTTTTAATCATTAAAGAAACTGGAACTCTCTATATTCAATTTGGTTTATGGAATTGTTCAAACTTTTTGTGACTTTCTAAAGTTGGGAAGCATCAAACATAATCATAAGTTTAGAACTGTATTTTAAATAATTTTGTTAGCATGATGAAGTTTTTCTTTCACACAACCCTCCCCAGACCCCACTTGTGGGATTACACTGGGTATGTTGTTGTAACACCATCATATCAAAAGCCTATTATCAATTTAATGTAGCCTTGTAATGCCAGAAGTTTGATATTTAATGTACCCTTACCCGGCCGAGAATTCGAGTTTTCTCATTGAATTGGACTGATTGTGAACTGTCATGGTTAGCACATAAGACTTTACATATCCATTTGAGCAATCTGATCTTAGATTGCATCTCTGACCATGGATGGGGTTTTACTCTTTTACTGGCTGCCATTGTCAATATGATTGTCAACTGTGCTATTTAAATTTAGTACTCCCTCTGTTTCACAAAGAGTGACCTGGTTTGACTTGGCACAAAGTTTTAGAAAATAAAGAAGACTTTTGAATCTTGTGGTCCTAAATTAAAGTTGTGTCAAAGTACTAAACTGCTCTTCAATCTTGTGGCTTTAAACATGCCACGTGGAAAACTGAAATTAAAATGTTACCAAAAAAGGAAAGAGGTCATTCTTTTTGAAACAGACTAAAAAGGAAAGGAGGTCATTCTTTTTGAAACGGAGGGAGTATATAGGAGTATTAAGCAACACATTCACTCAATATTTTTATATACAGCGTGCTTCTAGCTTTGCTGGACATTTGATGTTCGGTGTGTTGGTAGACGAAGGTTGACATTAGTTAACTATCTTCTCTTCCATAGAGATGAATGGACGATGAACTGGTTGATTGAATAACTAAAGCTGTTCTTTTTATGTGTAGGCGGCATAAGGTGTATAAAGAATGTCACTATCCATACTGCTTCAATATTGTCCATCGATGCTGGGGAACACTGGTTAGGAATAGGGGCTGCTGATAATTCAATGTCTCTCTTTCACCGTCCTCAAGAGAGACTAGGTGGCTTCTCTAGTGCTGGTTCAAAGATGGCCGGATGGCAGCTCTACAGAACTCCTCAGAAAACAGCAGCAATGGTATGTATTTTTATTTATTTTTGGAGATAATGGTTTTGTTGTTGAGATAATGGTAAAAAAACACATCTGAAAACTGTCACTTTTTTGCAAGTTTCACACTCCAACTATCCGTTGTTCCCTTTTCCTACCTAAACTATCACCATCTTTGTATTAAAATACACTCAAAGCTGACTAGGCCAACTATGAGTTGTTCCTGTTTCCTACTTGAACTATCACCATCTACTCAACTAGATAAGTTCTAATACATAGATGATGGTGATAATTCAAGTAGAAAAAGAGAATAGATCATAGTTGGGGTGTGATGAAGTGATAGTTCAAGTGTATTTTTGACCATTATCTTTTTCTTTTTTGGCTGTACCAGTACTAAACCTTTTTAAGTGACATTAATAGAAAAAGCATCTAATGAATCAAGAAACTAGCTATTATAATTTTTTAAAATGCTCCTAGGCACTAGTTTCGAGGTACACCAAAGTTACTTTTGAATTAGTGGAGCAACTCCGGTGGTCCTTCTGATCACCGGAAAACAATTTTCTTCAGGTCTCCACTATTTCAATTTTCCTGTTTTAGTTTTTTCTTTTCTAGATTCTTTTTTCTTGCCATGCCCTGCTACCTTGGAATAGATCAGCTGCAGTATTAAATACTGTATCATTTGCTCTTTAACTTTTTATGCCATCATCTGTTATCTTCAGGTACGATGTGTGGCTTCTGATCTTGAAAGGAAAAGGATTTGTAGTGGTGGACGCAATGGGTTGCTTAGACTCTGGGATGCTACTATAAACATCTAGGTTTTCATAATTATACTTACCTTGACGGTTTCAATGGATGATCAAGAAGGCTCGTAGTTAGGCTAGTTACCTCTGTCTCACATGGTAAGGGTGACTGTCGCATTTACTTGGGGTTTATATGTATAAGTTTGCTCTATTTGGTTGCACTAATCACTATGTACACATGCATTGTACATGTATCTTGTATAAATCTTTACAAAATTTGTACTAAAAATAGATTCACTTTTAAGCTCGTGAAAATTCTTGAACATTTGTCTGAGTTACAAAATTTCTTTCTTTCAAATATCTAGCTCGATGAATTTATAGGGGCAGCCTTATAAGATTTTATTAGCAACTATCTCTGATTTTTTATGGCAACTAAAACTGAGCATCTGTCTTTTACTTTTACCCTCAAACATTAAACTGTTTTCTTGAGGAGGCAAAGAAAAATAAATAAAGTAAAGAATATATAGAAAAATAATCCGAAAGCATAATAGTATGTTTGAATTGATTCAAATGATTAGAAGCCATGAAGAAAACAAGCATATTCTCAAAGAGTAACTCCCAAGAGAATATAATATAATGAAGAAACAAGCCATCATGGCTTTCGACCCACAAGTGGTGTAGAGAAGTTAAGACTCATATTCCCAAACATTTACAGTTTCAGAACAGAAGGGAGATGATAGTGGAACGCCGTAGGGCTTGCTTCTATATTGAACCTGGAGTTGGTCAAGGGACTGTTGTCGGTCAATCTTGAAAATGTGCTCCATGCTGAAATATCACAAGTAACGCCTCGTCCTAGGGCATCGCATGGAAAACTAAACCAAAATCCTTTTTTTATCTTGCATTAACTTGGAAATAGAATTCCAATTTCTACCAAGATAACTGGAGGTTCCAGCCAACAAGAAGAAGCCTAATGAACCTAAAAAGAAGGATCATTGACGTAAGATGTTGTGTATGCTTTCTTTATAATGTTGATACACTTCAGCATACTCGGAGTCTTCTCTCTAAGGTGGAAAGCTCCAATGTGAACTCTTAAAACCCCCGACGTTGGCAGGTCGTTTAGCCCCCTTCATCTTAGACGCAAAGTATTAGGGTAAACCAATATGATCCGGCATTGTAGGTGTTCGTAGTGAGATGGAGGCCACTGCCCCGGCCCCTGAGTTGGTAACTTTTGGTCATAGGTTGTCACCCAATACTGATAGGGGAAACATGTCCCTTTTTCCATCACAGAATAAATGGAAATTGATCTGACAGCAACTGTGAAGAATTATATATTTCCATTTTCCATCCACACTGGTCGGCGGGTGCATCACCCACTTGTAGGGGTGTGCATTCAGTTTTTCGGTTTGGTTTTACACTATTCTGTTTGGATTTTCGGTTTTTGGTTTTGTAAAAGTGTAACCCAATCCAAAATAAATTTGGTTTGGTTTGGTTTTCCTCTATTCGATTCGGCTTTTTTCGGTTTGGTTATTCGGTTATGTCAATAATTAATAACATATATAACCAAAGTAATAATATTTAATCCCTTAAATATTTTGTTATGAATCTTTAGGGAAGGATCGATTCACAGGGCGATATATAAATCAATTCGTTAAAGGGAGGCTGAAACCTTAGAATTCATTAAAAAAGAACTCCGATCTCTTCAAAGGGAGACTGAAACCTTAGAGTTCAATGGAAGAGAGAACTCTAATCTCATGCTTTTTGCTGAATTACGACTTACTGATTTATTCATCAAAAGCCCCTTTAAATAGGAGTCTTATTGGAAGTCTAATTCTTATGAAAGTAGGAGACCTAAATCCTATTCCAAACTAATAACTATAACTTAACCTAATCCTTATACAACTCTGAAACTAAACCTTATTCTAGAATAATAAATAAAGCAACTAAAAATATAATTAATTACTTAAATTAATGACTTCCAACGCATCCCTAACATATTCTTTCTAATATAAATCATAAGTAAAACTTAAAACACAATACTTATAAGTATACCTATTATAGATGTAATTCAAACATAAAATATAAACGTAATCATCATGAAAGGCAATAACCAAAAAGGGACAAAAGTGGTTAACTCCAACTTAATTCTAAACCTAAACATTATATATATAGATATATAATTCGGTTTTTTTCGGTTTTTATTTTTTAAAATCTGAAACCAAACCAAAACAAAGTAATTTATTAATCCAAAACTAATCCGAAAAACCAAAAAAACCAATCCAAATAAAAATTCGGTTTGATTTGGTTTGATTATTCGGTTTAATCCGAATAGTGCACACCCCTACCCACTTGGTTGTGAGTTGCAGTGAATTGTAAATAAACATTGTTTCTATAGCTGCCCCAAGACAATTCGTATCAGGAAAGGGATCAAAATTGTTCTCATAAGTAGAGTAGTATCATCTATAACGTAAATTTTACCTGTGGAAAGTGAACCTAATTAAAGTACTTAGTTAAAGCTAACCTTGCTGCCATAATCTAACTTCAGTAAGGGAATTAATGGTGCCATCTGATGAGCTATGAAAGTTCCTTTGCATTAAAAGATAGTTCTTCATTATGAAAATTCCAGGAACATTTGAAAATTTAGCATTATTTCTCTTTCCCATTGGGGAATTACAAATCGCAAAGGAACACAGAAACATACATATAGACAAAGATCTGAAAAGTTAAAAGACAGAACAAAATTTAGAGAGAAGCACAATATAAATACTTAGTTTCTACAAATTAATCAGCCCATGGCTTGGTGAACTGGAGGGACCATGGTAGCTTGTTGTAGCTGCATGTTCTGATTCTGTGCCTGATTTCCTTGCCATCCTGTCAATGAAGAACAGTCCATATAGTTTAGAAATATGACAACTATGATTGCGAAACCCATAAAACGGAGGTCTGGTTCATAATTTATAGATAAGGATGGTGATACAATTGACCTAGCAACTTAATACTTGTGATTATAAAAATAAAATAAAATAAGGTTGTAAGTAGAACTACCAATTGAAGGGTCAAGTCCTCTGTGGTGAAGCTCTCGATATTCTTGACAGAGAGCACAGTATTCACAAAAGCAGTGGATTACCCAGTCAGGTGCCGGTGATTCAATTAGCCCGTACTGGCTCCTCAACTTTGTACGATAGGTGCATGACATTATGCAAGGCATTCCAATGAACATAAGAATTGCCCCATAGATAAAGCCGCTAGTGGTACAAGCTATAGTATACACAAAAAAGAGAGACAAGGAGAGAGTATCCAGGGTTAATTATGAAGTGTAAGAATTTCCATTTTTGTTTTCTTATCTATGTATCACTTACGAGTTTGTCCAGAGTCTACAATCTCAGCAATCTGTCCAAATGTCAGGCAGGGGAAGCATGCTGTAATGAGAGCTGAAAGTTTGCACAAGCTAGTAAATCACATTGAAACTTTTACTTTCGTAAGCAAATTGAACAGTTCCTTTGTCTGTGTGTGTGCTTGAGTGCATGAGATAAGGAGATTAAAAACTGTTTACCATTTGTGGGGTCTTCCATGCAATCAAACAATCCAGTCTTCCAAGATTCAGTTGGAAGAAGTGGCTTGAAGGGGATTCCCATCATGGGAGATGCTGGTTGCGTCCCTTGTTGGTATTGTCCCATACCCATTCCTATTTGTGAACCTTGCGCTAAACTGTACTGTGGAAAATTAGTACCTGCTTGAGGCTGAGAGTTGGTAAAAACTGGCACATTATGATTCTGAGGCACAAATGCGTGTGGTCTAGCCTGAGGAGAATATAATTGGGGATCAACTTGAGGTGGTGGAAAAGCATGTGCTTTATTAGGAGTTGGAGGAAAGCCTTGTGGTTCATAACTGTCCTGAGCAGGAGGGAAGGCCTGTGGCACAGTTGGAGGAAATGCGTGTTCTTCTTCTTCTTGCGTAGGAGGAAAGGTGTCTGGCTCATAGTAATCTTGAGCAGGTGGGAAGGGATGTGGCAAGGGTTTAGACTGAGGGGGAGGAAAGGCTTCTGCTTGAGGTTGAGGGTCATGAATGGGAAAGCTGTTGTGTTGGCTAGGGTGTAATGGTGATTTGGGCTTAGGCTGCTTCCTTGGCCTCTGATTCTTTCCATTTTGCTGAGAAACCTGTGTGGTCACAGGCCTGCTCATTTGCTGAGGTGCTGCCTGTACATATTGTTGCTGTAGTACTGAGTCTTGATTTTCCTGTGATTCACTTGCCATTGTCAGTTCTTGTGGTGGTTCATCTTGATTTTCTTCTGGATAAAGATCTTCATGGAAAGACTCAATGGATGGTGGATGTATTTCATCAATGGTTTCAGGGGCTTGATAATGATCAAAACTTTCCACTTGAGAAGCGTATTCTTGATGAGGCTGTAGCTGGTGCTGATCATTATCATTTTGGTGTTGAACTTGGAACTGATGAATGGGTTTTGCACCTATACGCCCCATTTCTTCTTCACTCTCTTTGTTGAATGAAAGAAGAAAGAGGGTACTTTATATTTAGATGATCTGAGTTGATAGAAGACTATTAATAGACATTTTATACTAATAATTATGGAAATGTGTGGGAATTAATCACCCCTCCCCCCACTAGGCTCATTGTTTAATTTTGGTAAATTCGGCTGTCGAGGGACATGTTAATTCCACGTTCCTGCATAGTTGATTGATGTCAACTATCTTATGATTGAAGGGAGATAATGGGAATATTATTTCCTTAAGTATCCTCTATTTATTAAGTTCCTAATAATATGTGAACACTCAGTTTCCTTTTGAATATGCTTGTAGCCGGGGTGAAGCTACAATATCACGTATGGGTTCAGTTCAATGGCGGAGCCAGAACTTTGACAAAGGGGTGTCAAAATATAAAGAAGTAAAATCACGTAGAAGTCAAGAAGTGTCAATATGTAATATATACACATAAAAAAATATTTCTAGTCTAGCTACACAATGTAAATTTTCGACGAAGGGGTGTCGGTCGACACCCCTCAACTTCATGTGGCTCCGCCACTGGTTCAGTTATAAACTCCAAATCCTAGCTCTAGTCGGTGCTTAACGTGAAAATTATCATTCAAATAACAGCATTACAATGAGAAAAATGTAGAGATGTGAACAAAATTTGCTACTATCGACAACTTTGACCTGGTTTACCTATACAGATAATGCCAGTAAGTCATTGCAGTTATCATGGAATTTCAGGAGTATCGTGATGATGACAACTCTAAACCAAAGACTTAGTCCACAAAGCAATGTGAGCATCTTTCTTCAAAGTCAACTAAAAGCCTAAAATATTTGTAGACTTGTAAAGCAGTGAGCGACGACTTTTACTTATATAACTTGCAATTTACTGATTGTAGAATTCCAATAATTCATCTTTGGACTTTGAGTGTAATATGTAAAAGACTTGATGAGGTATTGATTTTGTGAATTATATTGTAAATAAATATTGAAAAAGTCATATATATCTTTATATTTGTTTAAATCAAACAAATTTGCCCATCACTAAACTTTTAATTCAATATCATACCTTTGTTAGGAAAGATACCATTTTTCCCTTGATGCTAACAATGATATGATAGAGACAAATACGAGATTGATTTTCTAACTTTCTGAACTTCTACAATTTGTTAAAATGCCGATTAATTCTTTTAAAATTTTCTCAAATTGCGGGTGAATCTGACCAATTTCTCTCTATCAAACTTTGCTTTATGTGAATTAAAAATACATTCCACGATTTATAAATTGCACTCAACACCTTATACCATTTTGCAATTACAATTCACATTTATCATTTGCGACTAGAAATCTCATTATAGTAAGTTGGATTGATTCAAATAGTGCACAAATTGTATTCATTGGCTATAACTTACAAACAATTGTCTGTCCAATTAAACATCATTGTATAAATTAAGTTAAAGTCGTAAATTTTAAAAATATTTCTTTCATTTAAACTTTGTATCCCATTAAAATATTACCCCACTACCTAATCACATCTTCTTATAGAATTTGTGTGCTCCCTTTTTTCCTTTTAAGTTTATCCATTTACGAACTCCTCAGAAACTAAATAGTACTCCATTTGGTATTACTTGACCAAAATTGCACGTTTTGAAGTGAGAAAAAATACTCATAAAACTGAAAACTTGAGATCTCTGATATATCATAGGGAAACATTTTTATTATATTGAAATCTTTGGAGAAGGTCAAATTGTAATATTAAACTAATACTTCTTCTATTCACTTTTCTTGTCTATTATTTAAAAACTAAAATTTATTTTTACTTATCACTTTTAACATATTATATTTTTTTTCCCCATATTTTATACTTAGTATAATATTAAATATTAATTATAATAGAGATAATGTGGTAAGACATGTCAATTATAAATTATTACGTTAATAGGTGCTTTTTGCAACGGGAACCTATATATAGAAAAAAATAAAAAATTGTTCAACTTTCTCCATAGCAACTTCAGGAAGGAGGATCACTGGATCAGAGAGGGAGAAGGCGAAAAGTTCGTCTTCTTCTACTCCCCTCGCTACTGGAGAGGTATGTGTTGGCGCAATTATCTGTTAAATTTCGTCAAATTTATTTTAATTTTGGGATTAGTTCACTTTAACACTAGGCAAGAGCAATTTCGCCTTTATGTTCTAGTTATCAGTAGTTTATCTGATGCAATAATCGGATTTTTAGCTACTGTTCAGTCAAGTTGCTTTGCATTTTGCTGCAAAATGTTGGAACAGAGAGATAGAATGACAGAATGGAAATTAGCTCGGCTTTTAGTTGGATTTCGATTGCTAATGATGAAGTGAATTTAGTAGAGAAAAATGTTCATTTGGCATTGTATGCTTCTTTCTGATTTCTGTGACTTAGTTCTTTACATACTTTTGTCTCTAACTCAGTAATTATTTTTTTCAAATGATTGTTTTGTGTATAATGATATTCATCATCAACAACAACAACAAAGTGTAGCCCATAAGCAGGGTCTAGGTAGGTAGAATGTACGCATACCTTATCCCTACCTCGGGAGGTAAAAAGGCTGTTTCCGTAAGACTGTTGGTTCGAGTAACGCACGTCAGAGCACTATGGAATATGATGTTGATCAATATGGGTTCAGATAACAGTTTTAAATTTTGAACTCTTACAACTACATCTCCCGTTCCTCTAACTGACTCCTTTGGGGAACTAGTCACCGAACAATTAGACCTTCTTTTTTGGATAGCGCTTATGGTTACCCCAAAAGATTGCATAACCCCAGTGGTCTTGAAGAAACCTTGGGGATCCACCTCTGTGAGGCGGAGGAACAAGTGATGAGAAACTAATCTAAAACCATATGAAATAATAATACAATTGATAAAAATAAATGACATCTGATCAAGGGATGAATGTGGAGAGAGAAGAGTATTGGATGGGGATCATAGATCATCATGATATAATGATAAGGTTATCGAGCCATCTATTGATGTTTAATATTAGATTTCCAAAAGTTCAATGCTTTTGATTCATACATTTGAAGTTCTAAAATGCTATAATATTCCTATATTATGAATATGAGCTTACAATAAATTGACATATATTCTAGAGACCTCCTCTGGGCTCGCTTGCAGGAAACTGAAGAGGTTTCATTCTTTTTTCCTTTATTTCTGAAATGATCTCTAATCTTTCCACTTACCTTCTATAAAACCTCAGAAATGTGTCTTTCGTGCTTACAAGGGTCATTGTTATTAAATCTTGATCTTTCTAGGAAATTAGACGTCTGAATGAGAAGATAGGTGTGTTGACCTCAGAACTTAAGAAAACAAAAGCAGATAATGTCAAACTTTATGGAAAAATCCGTTATGTTCAAGATCATAATTCTGAGAGAGTGATTTCAAGAGGATCAAAGAAGGTGACCTGTCTGATTTTATTGTTGATTTCACAGTCTGCGTCGATTTCTTTTTCTTCTGATATGCTGCTTTCTCATTCTCAGTATGCAGAAGACCTAGGAAGTGGTTTCAGCTCAGATGAGGAGTCCAATTACAAGAAGATGTATGAAGAGGATATAAATCCATTTGCAGCTTTCTCGAAGAAGGTCCCCAACTTTTCTGTCACATCTTAATCGAGTTTCCATGTCTTTTTCCCTGATGGCAGGGTTAGGTTGGTGTTAGTAAAACTTAGCTGTTCCACTTCCTCCATCTGCCAAGTCCATTCTTTTGAGGCCTATGAATTAGCTTCCAAACTATTTAAATTCATAAGAGTAGCATAAAGCATGTGCGATTTTTAATGTTCCATACATAAAAATTGCAGAAACATTTATGATTCCATTTTCTAAACTGTTTCTAGATGTTCTCGGCTTTGTATTTCCCCATATTTACAATTTTACATTGTCTAGTCAGTGCAATAGCTTCCCTTCAATTTTCTGTATTTCCCTTGTTTCCATTTCTCAATCTGTACATGCTTCATACCTATTTTACTCATGCTATTGGAGGTTCTTGGTCCTCATCTTATCAAATTGTTTTGTTTATAATAGGAAAGGCACCAAAGATACAAGGAACTAGGTTTGAGAGACAAGATTACTCTCAGGAGTGGATGTTTTCTTCTTGGTAACAAGTAAGCCTTCTCTCTTCAGTTTCCCCTTTAGTTAGCTGGACACTTTATCTTTCCAGATCGGGATGTGCTTGCTCCTCTGCCGTGGTAACTTAAGACTAATCACATGGATGAAATGATTTGCATTTACATCCTAAATTTTTCACCAAAACCATCTAGTAGTTCTATATATGAGCATCTTTATATAGGGAAAACAAATAATATTTGTGTTAGTTAAGGGCTATTACTTCTAATCCTTGCCTAGACTGAGAGAGAGTTTATCATTAAAGCTATGATATTGGGATGGTGTATCAGTAATTTTAGTTCGAAGCTGTAAACCTCTATCTTGACACCTTTGTGATTGCACACCTTCATCTCATCTTCTAATGTAGGATGTGCTTAACTAACCAAATAGAATTAAAATGATGTAATTTGAGCTGAGATTTAACTGTCAAGTTTCACAGTAGTAATTGATGAAGATTATCAACTAATCCTGCTCAATGGTATTGCTGAAAAGAATGGCTGGGTTCCTGACTTAGATGTGCTGCTTGCTGCTATAATTTCTCAATTTAGATTTATAATTCCTGGCCCTATAACTTGTTACCTATGCATTTCAAATCTCATAACAATAGTAGCAAGTTTGGATCAAGTTCCAAAGAAAAAATGTTGTGAAAAAGTGGAATGGCATTGTTGTTTTATTAGGGACGGGTAACTGTCTATTCAAGTCTCATACATTTTATAGTTAAAAGATAACAACAACATAGTGTAATCCCACAAGTGGGGTTTGGAGGGTGGTGTGTACAAACCTTACTCCTACCTTGTGAAGATAGAGAGGATATTCCGTTAGACCCTCGACTCAAGTAATGATAAGGCAAAAATCATCGCAGTAAATATTAACGATGCAATTGAAAGTCAGGACTGATCTTAACGGTGTTTAAGCAAAGATAGGATAAGTAAGAACTAAGAATTGGTTAAGCCACCAGGCATTGCCGATCTAAGGATTACTATTGAAATGGATCAGGTATACCTGTTGTATTCCGGATGGAATATATAGAAGGCATATGTATTTTGTATGGAATAATTTAATTATAGTTCTAAGATGTATTAGGTAGCACAATATTTTGTGAGTTGTAATGTATGCACTATGAATTTAGTGTTACCGGGCATACAATTGCCGATGTTACTTGAAGAAAATCTTGAAAATTACACTGAAAGTGATAAAGATGATGTCAAAAAAGAGAAGTAGTTAGTTCAATAAATTCAGTTAAGCTAATCAAGAAAAAAAAAGTAACAATAAACGTAACTAATAAGAGGTGTAAAATCATCTTCTAAGGTTTCATTGAGCTGGAGTTGTCGAGGTCTTTTTCTTGAATCACATTAGGAGAAAATGTACTTGTAAATAAAAGGTAAAACTAGCTATTTTGTATGTTTCCTTTTCTTTCATAGTATAGAATAAGCATTATACAATAGAAGGATTGTCCGATGCACAAAACATCTCGCGTTAGCGGGGTCCAGAGAAGGGTCGCAGCCAAGGTTTGTGTTGTAGACAATCCACCCTAAGGCAAGTATTAGTGTTTGCTTCTATGACTCAAACTTGTAACCTATAGGTCACACAAAGATGTATATCCTACTAAAAAAAACTTACTGGCGAATGATGCAGAAAGTAATTTTCTTAAGGAAAATGTTTTATGTTTCAAACAATCTCTGATAGTTTTTTCGTCATTCTCATTTCTATTTCTGGTCTCTTTTCAATTTAGTTATTTAATTGTTGGAATATATGCTACTTTATTTGTTTCACATACTTGATTTTTAAGCTAAGGGTCTATCAGATACTGCCTTTTTATCTCTATAAGGTAGGGGTAAGGCTGTGTACACTCCATTTTCTCTAGATGCCACTTGTGGCATTACATTGAGTATGTTATTGTAATAAGTATTCGAGTATATATGTTTCTTACTAAGCGAAAGTCACTTGACTTGTGTGTAATTGCATTCTTCTACTAATGGCTTGAAGCATTTGACTAGTGTGTAATTGCATTCTTCTGCTAATGGCTTGAAGAGCTTGTGTCATTTGGATTTGCATTTCACATTGTAAAATGAAAACGTCAATTTATTAAACGAATAGATACCTCAACACAAAGTAAAATCAATTAGTTTTATGTAGCTTATAATGATTTTCTTTTATTGTCTTATGGCAAATCTCACGAGAGATTTTTATTTTTACATTTTAAGAATTTAAAATAAACATAAAACATTTTGTAGGATCATTTGGATTTCAATATTTCAACTAGGTAGCACAATCACGCTAGTTATATACTAGCTCATTATAAATGTTCTTTTAATTATGTAGCTCATATATCCCCAAATTTTATTTCAAAATTATTATTCGTTATGTGGCTTAAAGTTGAATTACCGGTAATCTTTCATTTTCACTTAAATAACTATACCCCGAAATGCTCCCGGCATAGGAGCCTACGGTTCCATTCACATACCAACCTCTTAGTCCTATAGGACTTAAGTAGGCAGTAAAAATCGTGAAGCACTAGCCTACAAGTAAGTTCATCTTCACACGCAATGCTATACTGCCTGAACTTTTGAAGTCACATACTGAAGAAGTTCATTCAATATATTAAATGCTAAGCTTCTTTTAGCATCAATTAAAGTCGTTGTAGTATAGTGGTGAGTATTCCCGCCTGTCACGCGGGTGACCCGGGTTCGATCCCCGGCAGCGGCGTACGTTTTTTTGCTCTCACCGGCGACTGGTTTTTCCGATTCATAAAGCAGAATCAGGAATGAAGAATATTTTACTAACATCACAACAAAGTCGTTGTAGTATAGTGGTAAGTATTCCCGCCTGTCACGCGGGTGACCCGGGTTCGATCCCCGGCAACGGCGAATGTTTTTTGCTCACTCACCGGCGACTCTGGTTTTTTTCAAATCATTAAGAGAAATAGGAAACTTCTACGCTATTGTATCAATAAGGTCGTTGTAGTATAGTGGTAAGTATTCCCGCCTGTCACGCGGGTGACCCGGGTTCGATCCCCGGCAGCGGCGTTTGTCTTTTTAATGCTCAACCGCATTCAGATCAAACTTCCGTCGAATACTAAATTCCGATTCCGACCACACATCAGAACCGCATTCAGATCAAACTTCAGTCGGATACTAAATTCCGATTCCGGACACACATCTAAAGCTCGATGAATGTAGTATGTGCATTTTCTAGCTACGGTCCTTTGGTCCGCCTCTTCTCCTCCCTTACTAAAAACCCTAATTGTACACGTAATGGAGGAGTTGGATGAGCAGCACTTCTGCAGAACTTTTTAAACTATTGCCAAAGATATGTCAATGGAGCAGTGTCTTTTTCAAAGTGTTCTTTGGAAAAGGTATTTTCCTTTTTGTGTTTCTGGGTCTCATCTTCCTGATGATTCTAATTTGCATTTTTTTGCATCATTTTTGTAGTTTCCTTTTAATATGTGCGTTTAAATTGTTATATTGTGTTACTATTAGCTTCACAAAGTAATGTGAACACAGAAATTATTATTTTGATAAAATGGGAGATATTTTATATATAGTTACTTACTTTAACATTACATTATCGCCGTTATTATTTGTGATTCTAGATAGCTAGATATATTATCAAAACGAGCTAACTTATTACGTATAGACCATGAGGAGTAGATACAATATGGGAGTCGAATTAATCTCATAATTAATTGATTGAAGGAAGCTTATTATATTTTGAATAAACTATTTATAATACTTATGAATAGATTAAATAATACAAATATAAAATTATAATTAAAATTATTGAATTTTGCCGGTATAGAACGCTCTTCCCCTGTAAAGAGTTGCCAAACTAGTAGTTAAGTATAGATAGAAGGAAAATAAGTCGGTAATGCATCAAAACAATATAATGAAGACATTTAATTCATAAATGGTTTATTACTTAAATTTGGTCGATTAATATTACTTAATGATTGTAAATAAATATAAATGGGTGCATGCACTGAATTGTTCTCATTTCTCAACAATAAATTCCTATTTTTTTTATGGGTAAAGAATAACTCGTCTTTTATGCGAGAATTTTTCGTTTTCCCCACTGACCAGGCAAAAAACAAAACAAAACAGGCAATTCATATTTTCTTAAATTATTCGGACTACTCAAAAAAAAAAACAAAGTAAGAGGAATATGGGAAATTGGGAATGGCAACCAGTTGGAATCTGGTGCTTCCACCGAACATATACGAGGTTGAGTGCGTGTGTACAGTGTGTGATGAAAATTAGATGTGCTACAAGTAAGGAGAAAGGGATGAATTTTGAGCACAATCCTAAGTAACGTCTTTTGTGTTACACGATTGAGTTGGGATGAATCTTAGATTCTTTCAAAATGTATTATTGTTGTTGACGGTTATCTTGACTTGTCACTAATATTTTCATCATCTGGTTGTTGCGGAGTTGCATCATTGTTTTGGATTCCCAGTCTTACCCTTTATGATCTAGTGACATGTCCGATGTTACCTTTACTGAACTAGATTCAATTGAACTTTGATTATGATGTGTCTTCTCTTGATTTGTCCAATTATAAAGACGGTATTTCTACCCATACAAATAATTTGGGAATTGAACGTTTTGATAAAGAAATGAAAAAGGAAATTGTACCAACTAATATGACTAACTGATAAACCACAAGCAGCCAAAGAATGGTAAGTGACTATTAGCTCTGTGAGCCAAAGAACATGAGCGCAGTAGATTCTTATATGATGTCCCTCCACTTTTAACTTATATACACCTACAAATTGTACGGTACAATGCAAATAATATTTACTCGATTAGTGGTATATCAAGTTGTCTTCATTTTTTTTTTTCAAGTGATCAGTTTCAGTTATTTAAAAACTTTGAGCAAAACTTCAAATTACGCTAAGGTGGACTGAGTTAATATGATCCACTCACGAGCAACTTTATTTTGTGACACATAAAACCTATGAATATTGTGTGAGCCGTGAGGCTTGTTTTGGGTCCATCAATTTGTTTTGGGAACTACAAATATCATCCTAGGATTGATTCCCATGCAAGGTGTCCTTCATCAATGTGTCAGAAATTTTGCTAAAAATATTTAATATATATAACATGTATATATGGAAAATAATTTTTGATCAGGAGTATAATTTTCTCTATATCAAATTTAATCTTCGCTCAACTAGACTCTTCATGTCCTAATCTGTGCCAACTAATGTTGGGGATACATGTCAAGTTGTGATTGAACATGGGCATATAAAGCTAAAGCAGATTAAGACATCAAAATTAAAAGGCTACCGACCGAGTTCAAGTCATTTATAGTATCTGATCCCACTACTAAAGGCAGGTATGCCCTACTTCTTAAGTGACAATATCCACACGTTGTCTCCTCCAATGGAGATTCTTCTTGTATTTATCCTATATTTTTATAATAATCTTAAGCATGTGAACTCCCTTAAGCCACCTTCCTTCAACTTCAATAAGACCAATTTGTCATTTTATTAATGACTTAATTAGTGATCTTGTGTTAAAAAATCAATTTCTTAGTCACTCAACTCACTGGTGGCAGAATCTGACCATCTGCCTTGGTTATTATTATTATCATTTTTTTTTTCTTTTTTCATTTATACACCAATGTAAAATCCTGAACATATCCATAATATAGTAGTTGAAGTGGATCACTCAAAACTTGCAGTGCTAGTAATATCACTCGAACAGTAGGGAAGAGTGGCCGAGTGGTCAAAAACGGCTGACTATAAATAATATACGTTCTGTATAGTGGGAATTCTACAATTGGGATCTTGAGTACTCAACAGAACCCAATAGTTTGGAGTCTAACCATATACTATGTGTCTTAAAAGAAATAGTATAGATAGCTTTGAACATATGTTTCAAATCTCTGTTTAAATTAAGCATACCTAGAATATATCAAAATGTTCATTAGTCTTGTGCTCTTAAACACACATTTTACGTGGAAAGTTTGAAGTTATAAAAAGAGTTGCAAAAAAAAAAAAAAAAGACATTTGTTTTTAGACAAAATAAAATTGAAAGACAAACAAATAAAAACAAAAAGATTAATATTTAAAATTCTGAATTTGTCACTAATACACCGATTAAGTGCAACACAAAGCTATAGGATAAAAGGCAGTTTTGAGCATTATGTGACATATGGACCAACAATAGTTCAAAAGTTGGCATTGGAATTGTTGGGGTAACGCTAAGAGCTCATGGCCTGTGTCAATGTTTCGTCACTCTTTCCCCCATTTACACAGAAAAAAAACAAGTCAAAAACCAGACAGACTGCAATGGGAACTGGGAAGAGACCACCTCATGACTGATCACAAAACTTAGCTTGTTTAATTTGACTCTGACGTAAAATGCTGATGCACTTCCCCAGAATTTCATGCACAATCTAAAAAAATATTTTATTCCAACATACCTCCAAAATGCTCACCCAAGTGGTCTCATGTTGTCCATATACAAAAGTTAAAACTCGATATGGTGCCGTGGATGTGATCACATCTCTTTTAATCAAAAATCTCAAAGTTCTAATTATGTATATGAAAAAATCCTCGTGATGGCGTATGCGGCACAAATTCAAGTACTTGCTATCCATAATGTGTAACAATTGATACTCCATTTAAAGTTGGTAGTAGAAGTTGGGTACGGTATTTATGAGGCTCTCACCAGTCAATAGCACTTTCTAGAGTTATTTAACAAATTCACATTGGACCATTCTCATCTTCCCTTCCAACCTTATACAGTAGTATTAATTAATAATTACAGTCGTACAATCATTTAATTTCCAACTACATTTCAATCTCTCACCTTACAAATTTCCTGTGAGTAATTAAAAACTACACCCATTACATTCATAATTTAAAAAAACATTTAAAAAACCATCCATAATTAATATAACTTCATTATCCATCACCTACCCTTTATTTGTTTTTTGTTTTTCTCTTCCAACAAAGTATACTGCTTTTAATATTTTTACAATAATAATTAATATTGGTAAAAGCAGTTACTGGAGAATGGAGATGCAAAGTGTTTTACTATTTCCTACTCAACATTTGTCGGGGCTAAATCCAACAAGATTGTTGGCCAGGTCATAACTGACACGTGTCCCTTGCTGCTGTATGTTTCCAATAATTGATAGCGACCCATCCGTCGGAGCAAAAGCCAAGCAGAATTTTCCCGACGAATCCACCGGAATTAGGTAATTCTTCGGGTGCAATGGCAGTGTTTTGCCGCCGGAGAAATGAAACGCCAACGTCGGAACACTCGCTCTTGTCATCGACGACAAGTCGTAGCAGGTGTCAAACAGTGCGAACTGCCCGGCGGAAGGTAAATGCTGAGTGTACTTCACGAACGAGTCACGTAGAGTATTGTAAGCAGTGCTCTTTAACCGAGTCACCGCCGTTCCGGAATCCACAATTATTCCGCCACTACCACTTCCGTCCACCTGAAACACCGACGCCGGAATCGACAGCATCTGCCCACCGACGCTGATTCCGGTGAGTCCGACGTAGAAGAAAGTGCTCCTTCTCGAGTTACGGAGTAACGGTGCGATTACGGAGTCACTGGGTCGGGCCGAATTGAAATCCAGCGTTGAGGATGAAGCAGAGTCACGGTCTACGAAACAGTAGGAAAACGAAGACGCTTTGATTTGAGTTGGTAGAGATAAAGAGCCGCCGCCTAGAGCAATCAAGCCAGCGGCACCGACGAATAGCCCTTCGTTATCATGGCCACAACCAATAGCAACTTCAGAGAACGAACCAGATTTCCCAAACGACACCGTTTCAGTTGCAAACTCTCCAACAGTGAACGAGCCGTCTCCATAAGAGACCTGGTAGAGACACGATTGAGTACTAGCACAAGCCGAAACCTCAAGAGCCGAGCACTGAGCTGCGTCGCAAGAGAGCCGACTGTATGTAGAAGAACTCGACGGGCTAAAAATTGGATCCGACTGCTGATAACAATCAGAGCACGGCTCACATTGAACCCAAGTGATGTCACTGCCAGTGTCAAGCACCATGTAATACTCCTTAACCGGTTGACCCAAGCCGAGCCGGGTAAAGTACTCACCGCTCCCCTGACTAGCTCCAGAGGTAATAGGAGTCTGAAGGTCCTCAGGCTGTACCATGGTCTCCACCGGCTTGAGATCCGAGTGATTAAAGTTGTTCAACGCGAGCTGGAGCTTCATGGTGAGTGAAGAAACTCGGGCCGAATCACGTTCGAGTCGAGAGAGAGTGAGAGCTGCATAATCTTTATGGCGGGGCTTAACAAGAGCTGAACGAGGATAAATTGAAACAGATATTGAAGAAGAATTAAAATGGGTATTCTTAATTGCTTCTTGTTGAAAATTTTGTGTAGCAGGAGTGAGAACTTGAACAGTTTTCTCAATGGATGCTGCAACATCGAAGATTTGGGTGTGAGGATGTGAAGAAGATGACAAAGAACGAGAGAGAACACATGGGACAGAAACAAGATAGATAAAAAGAAGAAATAAGCAAAATTGGGCCATTTTTTTTTAATGAAAATTGAAATATGAAAGAAAAGGAATGGAGAAGAAAAGAAAGTGAAGAAGTGAATATATGTAGAGAAGGGAAAAGCCTAAAGATGAGGGGAAATAAAAGGAAGGGAGGGGGCTCACGTCAGACTTGTTGAATCCATACAAAAGCATTTAAAACAGAGAAAGAAGCTTGATACCTGCTCTCCCTCTCTGTTTTTATATTAAATCCATCACGTAATTTCGCATTAGTATGAACTACGAAGGTATTGACTAATTTGAAGTTGTTAATGAAAATTTTAGGATAACTTACCGTTGTTATAGTCTTTGCTTTTACGGTGAACACTAACCCCCACAGTATAATAATTTACAAATAACACAAAACATGTAAAATACACTAGACAAGCTCTATCCAATAAGCTGGTTTAGAATGCATTAAAATGTGCTCGATCTCAGATCATTCATATAGATGACCACCTTTCAAACTAACTTTTGTATTTTTTAACAGAATTTTTGTCATGTTTAAATTCAAAATATTTGATTAAGAAATTGAGAAATCTTTTAACTATAGTCACCACAATCTTGTTGGTAGACTAGATTTCTCTTTGTTCTATTATCACTACTACTATAAAATAAGAGGTGATGTTGTCACCATCAATTAATTAATTAATTAATTATTGTTTTTCCCTCTCTTCTTTCTAGTGTGTATCATTTTTGTCCTTAATAATCTTTTCCTTCTAGTTTCTACTACTACCACACTTTATCTCCCTTTTTTTTCTATTCCTCTAGCAATTATTTGCTAATTGTGGTCCAACCATAGTCAAATCAAATAGTTTCTAAAACTTAGAGATAAGTTCACAAAGAAGATCTTTTGAAATTTTGATAAACATATCAATTTTGTTGTCGACTTTCATACGTAGTTTTCTGTCAAATTATCGGCCAAATCATCCGTACAAGGAGATTACTTGAAAGATAAAAGCTAGCATGCAACAATTGTCCTCACTTGTTTGATGGCTAGGAACTCATTCTATAAAGTCAATCAATTTATGTGATACTTTTATTTCTAAAAAAAAGACTTCAAAATATATATTATTTTTTATAGTTAAAAATTAACTTTTAAAAAAATATTTATTTTTATTTATAATTAAATAATTATAGTCACACAGGTAGATGTTTAAGATTTGTTTTAGATTATAAATTTCATAAGTTCTTTTTCTTTCTTAAAATTTGTGTTAAGTGAAATGATATCACATAAATTGAGACGAAGAAAGCTCTATGTCAAATCAAATGACGTAGAATGAAGTATTTACGTGGAAGATGGTGATAATCCAATTCCTTTTTGAGAGAGAAATCCTTGCCTCAAATCAAGTCTTTCCTTCTCATTTTTATTTTCCCTTCTTTTACAATCAAAGAGTTTGAAACAAATAGTATCTTATATTAACGTACGTAAAACAAGTATATTTTAAAAGGTCAATTTTATAGTTAAGCGTTTTATAAATAATCAGACAAGTTTTTAAAAAGAAAAAAAAATTCATAGGTGCAAGATGCACGATGACCCATTTATAAGTTCATCATATCCTCACATACGTTTTAATCCAAAAAGAAAAAGTTTTGCCGCTTGAATAAATGATGTCACTCATTAACTTAAACAAATTCAAATTCATCATTCTAAATATCAATATTCGTGAAGAAAAAGAACCGAACACCATTAAAAAATTAGAAAAAATATATATTACGTATATATTCCTCACATCTTATATATTAAGAAAAAAAATTAGAGTTTCCTTTTTTATAAAAAGAACATCGAAACAAAAAATAGTTTTACATGGGACATGGGCCCTCTTTCTAACTCATCTAAAAAATCTTTGTATTCACATAGGTTGTTTGTTGACTTCAATAAAAAATTCTTCTTACCTTTTCCCCTTTAAATTAAATTTTGAGGTGAGTGTTTGGTGTTGGATTAATTTTTTCCATTTCTTTCCACTTGCAAATGTAGTTGTCAAATTAATTACAAGGCTACACCCCATCCATAATTGAAGATGGCTATAGTAAAATTAATTACTACATGGTTACCGTGGGTAGTTCAAGCAATCAATACTTGAACTTCCCAATATTTAATGCTCGACATTATTTTAGACATAATTACAGTTTAATCTTTTTAGGTGGTTTAATTTACAAAATATTAATGAGCAAGTTGTATAGATTTTGTATTTTTTATTTAAGTATTAGTATAATAAATATACTTATATGAACATATAAATGATAATATACATGATCAGCGTATGGGTATAATATTTACGGTTAGTGTTTTTCTACAGTAACAACATCAAGGACATTTATTTAGCCACCCTACTCAATAACTATTTTAAGATATCATAATCTCTAAAATTCTCTATTATTTAGAAAAATTATAAAAATCCTTTCTCGGGTAAATCTCTATCAATATTTTGGATACATTCCTATCCCTTCTCGGATACATCCCTCTCCTTAAGTAATGTATCATTTGCAATGTATTGGACAACCAAGGAATGTATCTGAGAGCAATGAAAAATCCAATTTTTTTGTAATTGAGGAAACTTCCTACTCCCTATGTTCAACAATAGTTGCTCAATATTGACTTGGCACACCCATTAAAAAATAATAAATAATAGGGGTAATATTACTATATTATTCTTTGATTTTATTAAATTTAATGCTAGATTAGATAAATCTTAAAGTATTCTTATTTCATCCGCGTTTTCCCTTATGGCAGATTCGAAAAGTATCCCATCTTTTAATCTTAAATCTCTTTGAAAAATGTGTTAATGATAAAAAATATTTAATAGTAATGGTAAAATAGACACAAAAAGTAAATTATCTTTTGATTTTCTAAATTAGATAAGTATTATTAGACAACTATTTTTTTTTTTAATATAGTAGACAACTATTATTGGACGGATGGAATCCTTTATTTAATCCAAATCAAGAACAAACCAATCATAGTATGCTGTGTTAATTAATTAATTTATGTACTACGCCTATAATCAATTTCAAGAGTGTGTTTAACGAGGGAAAGGGTAGATAGAATTAGTTTGAGTCATAAATAGATGAGCCTTATAAATAAAATATAAAAAATTTGGGTAAGTTTTGTAATTTTGAAAGAACTAAACAATTATATTTTAGCCCAAAACAAGTGCATTTTTTTTTCTTTTTTTTGCAGATTTTGGATATTTTGCCGATTTTTTTCCCCAAAGCTAAACAAACTTATTTCGAAAAATGGTTGCAATATTTATGGCCAAAAATTGCTGACAATTTTGAGTATTGAGGACTCAAATCATTAGTCTCATTAAAAGAAATCCAAGAACTGGACCAATCACTTTTCAATGAGCAATACTCCAATTGTTAATTGATTAACACCACATATTATGTCTGATCTTGAGCATTATGTATCACACATGAGACTTTCCATAGCGATTGCATACTCATGTTGAATCGTGTAGGATTCTAAGATCTCTACCTCAAAATGAGCTAGATTTCCAGTACTAACAAGAAGGAAAGGTGAGACACTAAAGGGATGCCTATGATAGTTACTAGGGGTGCACATGGCCGGGTTGGTTCGGATTTTTCAAATATCAAACAAAATTATTTGTGTCAGATTTTTTAATCTATAAACCAATCCAATAAAACTCGGGTTTTTCAACTTCGGGATTTTTCAGATTTTTGGGTTTTTTCGGGTTTTTCCGGTAAAGTATAATTTACTTGTACTTCAAATATTTCTTTAGTCCTTCCAAAATACAACTATCTAAGGTGTTTCTTAAGAAAATAACATAAAATATTATATGAGTAATGATACTAAAATATCCAACAAAAAAATAATAATAATGAAGTCACGTAAAACAAATATTGCAAATTAGTCATAATGAAAATGATCATAATTTAAAAGTTCTAAATCATGCTAAAATAAGTTTAATAAGTATTAGTTACCTGATTAAATATTAAAGAAAATTAAAATTAGATTATGTATTTAAATAAACCAATGTAAAACCATAGAACAACTTATCTATGCAGGAATAAGTGTGCGCAATTACGAGAACCTCTCATTTGCCATAAAAAGGCAAATTATTTAGTAAAGGCAAAAATGATTTGACTTGGATAGAACATAATAGAAATAGTCGATTCATATTTGGGATTGACCATACTACTTCGAATTGAGGAATAGTTGATTGATTGATACATTTCTAGTATAACAAACTCAGCAGTCTCTGGTGCTGACATTGTTTACAGTAATATGTTCGACTTCGAGCTCAACAGACTGGAGGTAACGAGGTACTATGCCATTCTCAACATTTATGTACAATATCTATGCGGGGTTAGGCTGCTTCTTCTGAAGAATTCACCCATCAGGTTCATTTTCTTTAACAACCTCCACTGGCAGGCTCGATGGAGCTCAGCAAACCATTGCCTCTTAACTGTGTGCAATGTTCTTCTGCATCAGCTTGAGCACAAATTATCACCACTGCCAGACCATTGTGATGTGCCTCTTGCATGATATTAACAGCATTGTCGACCGTCATCCCTGGTATAACCTTCATGAGTACTTGAACAACATATTCCCTCTTGTTGAAATTGTCATTGTGCAGCATCACGCGATAGGGTGGGGACATTTTCCTTGATTTTCTAAAAAAGGAAGACACAAGTTGTGATAGTAGAGTATTAGTCATTGCATTAGGGTGGGGACATTTTCCTTGATTTTCTGGAAAAGGAAGACAACAGTTATGACTTGTGACAGTAGAGTACTAGTCATTGCATTTGTTCTTTATAGAAAGTTTATTAACTGTTGCATTTCAACCTCACAACTTGTATCATTTTCAACAGAAACCCAGAAAGTAAAGGAATATTAGCAGTTATCCACAGGCAGTTTTCTTGATAGGCAGCTCATCAAAATGAAACTTTCTGGTCTACTTTGGGGCGTGATCAATAGTCAACTCTTGCCTAACTTATCCATGACTAAGTAAACAAATAAACATCACCTCTCTTCTTAGGGTGAGATATATTTTGCCTAAAGAAAATACTTCAGGTTTATGATCCTAGATAGATTGCCCTTTTCCTCAATCTTTACAAGAATCAACATTATTTGAAAACCCTTGCTCTGTTCCTGCTATCCACCTATACCCTTTAATTGCTGCCAATTTTTGTTCTCCTCTATCATTTCCCATTTTCCACCTTAGTAGTGTTGTACAA